GACTAAGCTTGTGATTTGGTGAAATGCGCCAGAGGGGGGATGACCTTTGGTGGGACACCAATGATGTGGGTATAGGCTTCAATAGACTATTTCAGTGGAAACTGGTGTGCGGCCAGCGGTTCTTCTGTTTGTATGGGCTCATATTGGAGCGAGGACTTGCTCCCAGTGGCAAACAACCAGGCTCATTCCTTTCCTGAGCTGTGAAGGAGTGGTGGTGCTTTTGTGTGCCCTTCTCTTGGTTTGAGAGAGAGTGCTCTGCCCGGTTATTTTGTCACTCCACATATAACCAAACTGGTTAAAAAAAATGTTATCACAACTAAAACTTTTTATATAAAGTCATCATTTTGATAACTTCACTGCCATGTTTGTCGATGGTTGTGCCACACGAAGACGCCATGTACACTGTTTGTGGCATTTCTTAAGCAAGCAGTATATATCTGTGTTTGGTATTTATTCCTTCCTGCGTTATATCCTCTCCATTTCTTTTATCTTCCATTTCATTTGTATCTTTTTTATTCATTTATTTCTGTTCTTCCTTCTCCTCCTGAACATTCCATTCTCTGTCTGCCACCCTCCACAGCGCCCCTTCTGCAGGGGCTGAGGATTTTCACCTGCCCCAGCACACCCTCCCTTATCTGTGAACCCCAGGGTCTCAGAGGGTCCTATAGCAACTTGCTGGGCTCTGGCAGGTCCACGTCACACACTAGCCGTGCCAGCCCATTGAGGAAGTCTGTGTCATTCAGTGATGAGCTGCTGCTGTCGGCTGGTAGGATCGCCCCCCTTCTGCCTTCCGTTGCTGACTGTTCACGAGCACGTTTTTTTACTTTGATTATATTTTTTTGTGGCAGTTTTTTCTTAGAAAGTTTGAACTACATCACAACGCTAACACTGTATTTGTGCACGATACTTAACACATATTCACATTGTTATGCCTGGTTGATACTAACTACAATTGGTCTTAAGGCAGCAGCACTATGGGCAATTGATCCATATAACATCTGAGTCAGGACCATGCTCTGGTTTTGCTGTTTTAAAACGTTCTATGGTTTCTTGTTCCTAGTGGAATGTGCATGCATGTACAGAACAGGCAATGTAGTTACTTTCAGCTAGTGAAACACCGTTCCAAAGAATTATATCATTTTTCAATTTATCATATGCCAGCATACACATATTTATGCAGACGTGTGTATTTTATATTCTTTGCTACTACATGCTACATAAGGTAAAACATTTTTTTTAAAAAGATAGTTGTGTTGCAAGATCCCTTGTGATGACTGCCGAGGAGCCATGAACCTATTCAGGTCCTTTTGTACAGGGGCTTTTGTTTTTATTCCCCCAAATGAGTCAAGTGGAAATGACAGCAGATTGATGCAGCTTAGAGAGAGACTTCAAATGCACATGAGAAGCAACTCTGATGTTGTTTAGAAGTATCTGAAATTTAAGGCCCCTTTCACACAGGCGGTCCGATCAGGTCCGTCTGTCAGATTTACAGGCAGGCCCGATTGGATGCCCAATGTAAGTCTATGGGCAGCCGGGTTTAAAAGGATGGACGTCCGTTTACATTCGGCTTGCTTCGGCTCCAGCCAGGTCCGGTAAAACAAACGGAACAGTGTTCCGTTTTGACGGACCTGATCGTGCTGGATCTGGGGTAATTGGATGTTAACGGACACATGTCCCTTCACATCCAGTTCCCCATAGACTAGACAGACATGGGGCCCAATCATTTCAGTTTTTCAAGATATAGGAAAAGACTGGACGGAAATGGCTGTCACTGCGGTGACATCCGATCCGTACTGCTGATCAGGAGAGGTTCTGTCCCCATCTGATTAACCTATGTGAAAGGGACCTAAGCTGAAAGAATCTGCAAGCAAGCTGCATCTGTCCATCTCCACTAGCCCCTATATACTGTAGATCTACTTATGTAGAGTTAAAGGATGATGAGAGCACCAAGTCCTGAAAATCAGTCCATATACCATTTTTAAATGAAAGAGTCGATCAAAAATTGACGCCCATGCAATCTGGGGGGTTGTTTGAGTGCCTATTCATCAGGGCTTAAATATGTTGTGCACTAGGGATCTGGATGCATAATAAACTCCTGGGATTGAATTCTGAATAAAAAGCGGTAGGAAGCTTGCTTTGCTGTATTGTCTGGCTGCAGCCTGTGCAAACAGTACATCTGAAATGCATTGGCTGTCAATTCCTGATATAGTCTCGCTTATTGTGTCAGATGAAAACGGTTTCAGATTTTATTGGCTTGTATTATACCTTATTCTGCTTTCTTTCAATATAAAAAAAAACAACATATTACAATTTAACAGCCAGAGTTGGTCAAGAGTACCAATTCATCGGGGCTTAGATGAAGGCCAGACAAATTCCAGGAGCCAGGTAGCTAATGCTCCTTAAAAATGACAGCCGGTGTCTAACTTTGAGGATTTCGTTAGTTGTTGTCATTGGAGCTGGCTCCTAAAATCATTCCTGCTGGCTTCTGGATCAGTCAGACTGGCTCTTGAATGTCATCATAATTTATCCACCACTGGCCACTAGATATATTGTGCAGGAGTGACCTGGTTGAGGAATTAACTCCTGGGATTTTATTCTTAATGAAAAGAAGCTTGCTAAGCTATATTTGTCTAACAGCAACGTGTGCAACCAGTGCTTCCAAAGGGTGTTGCGTGCTCATTTCTGATTGACTCTTTTATTGTGTCAAATGAAAACTGTATCTGGAACAATGTCCACAGCTTGGTGCTCTCATTCTTTTACTCTACCTAAGCAAGCTATCCCAGGGACCCTGACAAGACTCCACTGGACACTAGAGAGCTACCACACTACAGCACTCACATTATTCATTGAGATCTCCCAGCCAGAGAGCTGTAAGAAACTAGTGGATGATCCAGCATGGCATCTTCCACCACCATGGTAAATACTTTGTTTTGGGTGGACTGATCCTTTTTAAACTCAGGCCTGTAATTGAGATTTTTGTCCTGTACAGGTGACACTATCCTCCTTGCTCTGTCACCCTCATTCCTTAACACACGTGTGGCCAGACACGCAATATATATTGCTGCTCATACCTGCCTTTTCTCATTTCACATGTCTGCCTCATTAGGGTGGTATAGGCCTCCAGACCCAGTACAGGCCTATACCAGTCCTAGTGGCGTTTCCTTATCCAATCACAGTTTCACATGGATCAGGTGATCTCTTTGCCTAGCTTGGAAGACTTAGAATGCATTGCATCTGCAATATAAATGCACAGATGTATGCATCATACTGGCAATAGAAATTGCCTTGGCCAAAGCAACCAATAACATTTTAGCTTTAACAGCCACTGGAAATGACATATCTAATAGTGCAGTGAGGCCAGATCCTGGACTGGAAGCAGAGGCTGAATTTTTTTTTCCTGCTCGGTCTCCGTGCATGAAGGTGAGGCAGATAAGATATGCCCGCTCTGCGATCCTCTAGTCTGTTAGCCTTCATTCACAACTCTCCTTCAGAGGTGCTGTGGTTTGAGCTTGCAGAGGACACAGCGGTCTCTAAATGGCATTGTTTTATACTGTAATTGTCTTATACAAATATAGTATTAAATAAGA